TAGTTCGATTTTAAATAAACAATGCAAATTTTAGATATTTTGTCTTATAATTTCTGTCCAGTAGTATTATGGTGTTATATACACTTTTATCTATTTTTTGTTTTTATTATGACCTAACAAATGGTGTAAGATCTTTTTGATTAGCATTTTTTGTAATCTTTTATAATTTTTACAGTTTTCACTAATACAGTAAAACAAATTGCCTATTTTGTTTGTAATTTATCATTAAAATTCTGTTTTTCTTTTTTTCTTTTTTAAGCAAACCCCTCCAAGCAAGACGGGAGTGCCATTAGCACGCAAGGTCTTACATAGAGTGAGAATAAAGAGGAGTGTTTGCGAAAAGGATAAAGAGAAGGACTGGGATCAAGGTCAAGGCATCAGAAGATGTCGATTGACATTATATTTGAATATTTGAAGATTATAGCTATCAGGGAAGAAAGTGATAGGAAAGAAGTTCCAATGATGGGAGGTGCGAGATTAGAAACTGTTGGAGTAGAAGAGATAGCTACATTTAGCCGTTTCGACAGTGAAAGTGTGGGACCGAAATGCCAACCTAGTAGCACCTTTAAATTCATGCACTTTGAATATACAGGGTGTTTCAAAAAGAATACGCCAAAATCATTACGCTGTTTTTTCAGGTCTATAGCATTGTAGTGGACTCAATCAGTGGTTATTTGATAGAGTAGTTATCAAAGTTTGATTGGGTGTCAGTTTCACCGCTGTCGTTAGTATAACTTCCGGTGCAGTTGAATTGTGGGAAGACAAACCTATTTCGATATGCTCCAATGCTATTCACTTTACTGCAAGCAGATTCGAATGACTTCATTTTTCAGCAAGATGGAGCACCACCCCATTGGCATCTCGGGGTTAGAGCTTATCTGAATGAAAACGTGCCTCAGCGATGGATTGGGAGAAGAGGTGCTAAAGACATTGCTCTCTGTGCTTGGCCTGCCAGATCCCCGGACCTCACTGTGTGTAACTTTTTCTTGTGGAGGTATGTTAAAGACCAAGTTTATGTTCCAGCACTTCCAGCAAGTATCGATGACTTGAAAGATCGAATAACAGCTGCAATCAACACGGTGGACCGTGACATGCTGAGGCGCGTTTGGGAGGAATTCTCATATCGGCTTCATGTTGTCCGCGCTGCCGGTGGTGGCCACATTGAGCACTTATAAAGCATGAAATGAAACTTGAATGTATATATAACACATGTGTTCATGCTAGAGGTTTGTAATTTTTTTTCGTTTTTGACACATCACGTGCTGATTTTGGCGTATTCTTTTTGAAACACCCTGTATTTTCCATTCAATGCATCGTATACAAAAATATCAAGTGTATCTGGATTTATTCTTGAAATAATAACATTTTGACGTCAGTTTGCAAGCAAAACCCTGTGGAAATTAAGTATTTCTGTTCAATTTTCTGGCGATATTTAAAACTAAATACTCAAAAAATTGGTAAAAGTTATGAATCTAATGTTTGGTGTCAGTGCTTAACACATCAAACCCAAGCTTTTTCTACCCCCCCCCCCGAAAAACCAACTGAATAAACATGTGAATAATATGCGGCACTCCGATAGATGACCTGATTCAAGCCGAGCTTCTCGACTTGACGGTCGAACTTTCTGCCTCTGAGCAGAAAGGAACCCGGACGAGGTTCCGCCGAAGGGCAGAATCTCGTTCGGGGAAAATGACCAACCCGATCTCGTTTATACGGCTTATATGGGCATTTTTTGGCCGAGCCTACGGGCTCGGGAAACCCACGATAAACTCGGCCTTGTGTCACATGCAACCCTCGTGGGGGGGATAGATACCGATAGATGACCTGGTCTAGTCATCGAAGAAATTCAGATAACTTAAGATCTATTACAGTAGCTACATTAACTTTCTAAATTTCTTATCGTTTATCATCCTCACTCCAAACCTTTCCATTTCTTCATCTTTCTTGCTTGATAAAATTCTGTTGTGTAAAAAGGGAAAGAACAGGCAATTGATGGAAATTATATTGTCACCTCAGATCATGACATTGCACTCGGCGTCCTTCTGAAAAACCAAGTGCAGGGTTGACGTGAGGGATAACCGCCTAGCCGGGACTGGAGATCCACGATTTACCCGATGGTAATAGCTGCCCCAACACGTGAACATGTGATCGACCCAATTGTTCCTAGAATGTGAAAGTATGTAAAAAAATAGATAAAAACATTGACTTTTTTTTTTATTATTTAAAACATTATTACAGTGGATACGATACTTCGTATTTGAAATAGACGCCCCATTTTTATTTATTAAACAGTGTGTCTCTGCCTGAATTTTGAAGATGAGGAGATATCATTATTTACACTACTTATATTTGGACTGTTGTCCACATCTTTGTTGTTTTGCTCGGAAATTCTCATTCAACTCAACACTTGACTCATCCAGAGTACCCACACCTGATTTCCCCACTAGAACTGAGTGTCTATTGTGAGATGAGCATACCCCGCTTGATGGTATTGGACATTAACTCTAAATTAGACTCTTATACGACAAGTGGTGGTGACTGGATACCAGCCGTAGTCCTAAAGAAATGTGCTCTTGACCTGGCCCCAGTTCTCTCCAAACTATATAACTGTTGCCTCGCAGACTCTTGCTTTCTAGCCTGTTGGAATTCCTCATCTGTTCTCCCTGTTTTTAAGAACTCTGGATAATCTTCTGACCCACCTAACTACTGTCCTATCAGTCTCCTACCACCCTTTGGCAAAGTCTTCGAGGGTTTAATCAATGCCGAAGCACTATACATCATATGATCTACTCTCTGACAAACAATATGGTTTCCGCTTTGCCCGGTCTACCGCTGACGTGCTTACGAGCATAACTGAATTTGTATACCAAGCTCTTGATAATAACGGCGAAGATCGAGCTGTGGCTCTAGATATCTCTAAGGCGTTTGATAGGGTTTGGCATGCCGGCCTTCTTCGTAAGATTCAGGGATACGGTATTACAGGAAGATTATTTGATTTAATCCAATCATTTCTGTCAAACCGTGAAATGAAGGTCGTCCTCCAGTTCCTTTCACACAAACGCTGGTGTTCCCCAAGGCTCTATCCTGGGTCCTACACTGTTTTTGATCTTCTTGATGTCATCAGTTCTCAAGTAGGCATCTACGCAGACGACACTACCATTTATTCCTGTCTCAATAGTAAATCCGACATTGAAGTTGACCTGGCCGTTGGTTTCGAAAAGGACCTCCAGTCTGTGGTTGAATGGAACAGGAAATGGCTTGTAAACTTTAATGCCTCCAAAACGAAACTGCTCTCATTTACCCACCATAGAGAAAACACTCTGCCTCCTATCAGCATAGCTGATACTCAACTCCATGAGAGCGTCTCTCTGTGCTTGCTTTGTCTCACGCTTTCCACTGACCTGATGTGGAACAACTACATTGAATCAATAGCTTCATCTACTGCAAGAAAAGTTGATTCTCTGTGTTGCGCTAGAAGGTTTTTCTCGCCTGAGTCCATCCTTCAAATCTACCATTCGTCCTTACATTGAATACTATTACCATATATGGTCTGGTGCCTCCGTTGTTCATCTCGAGGTTCTCGACAAAATCCAAAGACGAATATGCAACATGATAGGCCCTGACCTGGTATCTCGACTTCAGTCACTTTCTCACAGACGTGATGTGGCTTCCCTCTGTCTTTTCTACAAATATTTTCCTGGTAACTGCTCTGACAAGCTACTTTCACTCGTACCCCAGCTGCAGAAATTTAAGCGTGCTACTAGGTTGGCATCTTGGTCCCACCCTTTCACTGTCGAAACAGTTGAATTTAACCGCCCTGATAGCTTCCCTGATAGCTATAATTTTCCCATATTCATATGTAATGTCAACAGACATTTTCTGATGTCTTGATCTTGATCCCTGTCTTTCTCTTTATCCTTTCCTCAAACAACCCTCTTTACTCTCACTCCATTTAACCCCTTGTGTATTAGTGGCACTCCCGTCTTGCTTGGGGTGAAATGCTTAAAAATAAAAAAAAGAAAGCAGTTATTACAACGTTTCTGAAACGTAAACAAAGCAATTTACTTTTAATCCGAAATAAAAACGTAAATTTAAAGAACAAAGAGTTAATAAATACATTAAATTGTACGGTATTCAAAAATTCTACCAATTCTACCAATAGAATGAGTTATAAGTATATACCGGGTGTAACAGCAAAATTGTCCAAATCGTGTAACATCATAATTGTCCAAATGTTAGATTAAGCTTTGAACTGTAGTATCTTAGAAATGATTAAATCTTACATCTACTAGCCAATGCTGATTGACGAAGTCGGAAGTTGAATAAAACAGTAAAGTTACACACGAAGTGCTTTCCTTTCTAATATACGACCATAATATTACAATATATATTTCCTGTACGTAACACATTTCGCGGGACGCACTGATCCTAGACGGAAATGTCGGAGATTGACACTTTGATCCGAGTCAGTGGGTATAAGTATTCTGATTTCAGACAAAAATTACCGCTCAATGAACCAATTATTTTTGACGGGCACTGTGCTAGTTAATAGTGACAGTGCTTCTTTTAAGAAATTCGGACAAAGAAAACATTGATATTTCTAATATTTCTGTGCATTATCCTCAGAGCAATTGTTTCTCTCGATATGAAATGCGCTGATAGCCACTCCTTGCAGCTGGTTTTGATAAATAAGTACTTTGACAGCATCATACAGTGGCGAGTGTATCTGGCATCTGCTGGGAATGGAAGTCTGTTTCCTGCGTTAGCTGTAATCATTGGTTAGACTAGGCTTAGTCACTAAGCAGTTGCCTAATGTCAACGAGTCAGACTCGACGAGACAACACACATCAAAGATTCTTTATTTTAAAGTAACCGACAAAATATTTAATTCTTTTCTCAGAAGAAAGGTCATCTGTTGGCTTTAGGGCACAGAGTGGAATTGGAACTCGGCTCCCCAAGTTCTCATTCCTGGTCGCTTGTTCATTTCATCACCCGCGAGCTTTCAGTACCTGGTATTTCCAAGCGGTCACCCATCTAAGTACTGACCAGGCTCGACGTTACTAAACTTCGGTGATCGGGTTCGAACCGATGTTCCAACGTGATATGGCCATAAGCGCTTGAAACCATAAGCTTCCATAATATTTCTTGGCTTCGAATGACTATAGACGATCACAAAAAAAAACTTAATCTTGCAAAATATTGCATGGCTTTTAAGGAATACAAAAACTCGCGTAACTGTATTGGCCCGCAATGAATCCCGCGAAGTCATAATCTTTTATATAAATAGTATTTTAGAACTAAGAATATATATATATATATATATATATATATATATATATATATATATATATATATATATATATATATATATATATATATATCTGCGTGTGTTGTTGTTATTGTTGCTATTTTGTAATGAATTTTGTTGAGTGTTGTTGGGTGTTGATTGGTTAAAAACACATTCCTGTCCACCTTCACAATACAGGAAAAAATACTTGTTTATTTACAACAACAACATACTACACCACAAAAATTACTAAAATAAAACTTCAATTTCTCGACCAGCCAACACTGAACAATAATGCAAAGCTTTTCTATGAATCGAGCACTCTGAGTCAATGGCGTGTTTATTCAAAATAAATACGTAAAAATTCACCTTCCTCTCTGCCAAGAGCTTAGAGGAAAAATCTCCGACTGATGCTAAATCCGTCCGGTTTCGATCTTGGCTTGAGACAATCGGATGTCCAACACACTGACGAGCTGTGATACAACGAAACAGTTTGTCTGTGGATGACAATATATATATATATATATATATATATATATATATATATATATATATATATATAAAATATAAATTCAATATAGCCATGGTGTTGGAGATACTTTCAGTTCATTTGCTGAACAGAAGCAAATCCGAATGTCTGGATGTAAATGTGTCAAACAAGAATATCCACAGATATTTTGATCCAGATACTTGGAAAGCTGTGCAATGGATTCTGTGGTCTGTGGCTGTTGTCATCAGTCGGTTCACCTGAAGTCTATTGGCAAAAGAACCCTGATCAAGGGCAAATTTTGGATTTCTCAGGGCTTGTTATGATTGAAGTGCTTAAAATATTCAGAGACTTCTATATTTCTTTTAATAATTGATGTTGAATAAATGATTTTAACTTGTGTTTTTACAAATGATGAAAAATATTTTAAAATTGCCTTAACAATTGATGGTGAAAATAAATAAACTTCTTGTGTTAAATCTGCGTGTTATTATTTTTAACATTACCTGCCTTCATAATAATAAAAAAATATATTTACCGGCAAAATAGCTTGGGGTCTACTTAACCGAGATCACTAAAATAAGACTAAAAGGGACTGGCAAAATAGCTGTTTCCTTTAATAAATACAAAAACATCGCAAAAACATTCTGCCACTTCAGTTTGTTTCATTTCATATATTCAATAAATTCGGATCTGAAAACTACAAAATCTGTTAATGTTTTTAATGCGAATTTAAAAAAAAATATTTCGTAACCGAGATATAACAAGTCATTTAATTAGACACTCAATTTATATATGGAAATTAGGTTGATAAAATACAAGTGCTAAAGTTATAGGCATGAGCGTGAAACGTGTATACAATTGAAACAATTTTAATGGGAAAGAGGTAGTATATTTTAATTTGATAATGACAATGTATATGGTTTTATTTCCAGTTGTAAATGTATAATGGTAATCACAGTCGAGAAAAAATAGGTTTCTTAAGTCCACTATTATCGCTCTTTCCAGTAGCCATGGGCGTTTCCTTCCTAACCTTTTATTTGATGTAGTGTGGAATGTCAACATCTTTATTCTGTCATTGCTTTCTCTTCGAGTTACATGTGCTATCCATTTTAGCTGCTGTTGGTAGACCCCAAGGGATGTAATTTCTGTATCTGGTACAGTGTTTTTTTTTTTTTTTTTTTCGGTTCTGTTGCGCCATTTCACAAGGTTTAAAGACCCACAGACTTCACTCACTGATAGTCAATTTTAACTACTGACTTTAGAAAGCAGCTGTATACAGTTTAGATATTTCTGAAGGGGTTTGACGCCCTGAATGAAATCCATATAAAAATCTCGATCTGATGAGGCTATTTAACAACATGATTCGAGTTTTCAGGTTAATGTTTTGTAGCAATTTGCAGTGTTGAGCGTAAATTCCTCTATGTTCACTTTCTTTATCGTCTAATAAATTTGTTATAAATGATCCATACACTGCAGTATTTGAAATGCTTAGTATTTACTAATTCCATATGCTAAATTTATATGATGGGTTCAAGGGTATGTGTTATCACTGCTTTCATTTCCATTCCAGATCATTGTTTTTGTTCTGGAAAGGTTTATCTTGAGTCTTCCGGTTAATGTTACCATTACCATTAGCATTTCAGTTTATAACATCTGTTTTTATTCAAATATTTACGATAACTTGTAGCGAGATATTTTATTACACGGCTCGAGCCTTGATTCTTAGATTGCAAATAAATATAAATTTAACGTTATTGTTTCGTATAGACAAACGGGAAACACAAGTCTTAATCTCTCATACGTAACGCTGCATTTTATTCAACTTTGATCAATTAGCGTCAGCCAGTGTGAGTCAGGCCCTCTCGGAACGTAGACTCTATCTTCGCGTAAGGCATTGTAAGGCAATGTCCCTTTCCCTTCCTGTTTGTGTGCGCATTTATCTATCAACTAGTGAAGGCATTGTCCGCATCTGTTGGCTGGGAGGTCATCTCTGAGAGCAACTAACTGATGCAACTGACTTCTCTAATGGACACTGACGGCAAAGTCTATTTTAGCACAATCTGATTGATTGATTTTTCTACTGCTTATCAAACATTTGGAGGTTATTTAAACCAGAGAATATTTTTAGATTGTAAGAATATTTTTTGTAATAATAATGATGTAGCTATAAAAGTCATACTAATTAACTCATAGCTGGGGTGGGGGCAGGTAGACTCATACCTAATTAGAATTTGATAAAGTAAGAAATTATAATATGTACATAAAGTGAAGGATCAATTCTATAAAACAATCAGTATACAAACCGATCCCCTATTTTATGTTCACGGTAGTTTCTATACATTTATATCACAGAAAATGTACATAAATCTATAAGACATTTATAAAACATGTCTGTCTGTATTGTCAATCATCATTTGCTTGATTGATTCATTCATTTTCTACAGATTATCAACCCTTTGCAGGTTATTTAAAGCCAAAATTATTTTTAGATTGTAAGAATATTTTGGGGGGAGATAATAATTGTTTAGTGATACAAGTCTTACTAATTAACCCATAGATGGGGGAGAAGAGGTGTATTCACTGCTTTTTCAACGGTATTTGTGCGTAAGTAAATATAACGGACCCAACAGGATTTGAAACTCGGCTCCCCAATTAACAATTTCGAAGCATTATCCATCACACCAACCGTACATAAAAGCTCACAACACCTGGTATTTCCAAGCGGTCACTCATCTCGGTACTGACCAGGCTCGACATTGCTTAACCTTCGGTGATCGTACGGGAGCCGATGTTTCAACGTGTTGTGGCCGTAAGCCAGCATCATTCTGAAGTGAGTCTCATGCTATATATATATATATATATATATATATATATATATATATATATATATATATATATATATATATATATATATATATATATATATATATATATATATATATATATATATGCAATATAGCATGAAACAGACTGTCGCCTCTAAGTATTTATCGCATCTAAGTATTTATGCATCTAGCATGAAACAGACTGTCGCCTCTAAGTGTTGAGTTCTATGTTCACTTTTATATTTACACGTTCTATCTTTGATATTGAGCACTTTATCCCATAAATATAGCACATCTTAAGACTATATTTCTTTATATATGTATATATATATATATATATATATATATATATATATATATATATATATATATATATATATATATATATATATATATATATATATAATGGCAAAGTTATTGATATTTATTCATTTTTCATTTTATATACATTAAAATCGTCAATAGTCGTAAGAAATAATATAACCTTAAATGTGTAACAAGATATTTTAAATTTATTGAATGGTGGAAAGATAATTTTACAAATTCCAAATAAATTAAACAGAGACCACGGAACAATCTAAAAAGAAATTGAAAACATTGCCAAGAAAAGAAATACGAAAAAAATGAAATTTTAAGAATGTCGCCAAAAAAAGATTTGAGAATTAAAATGGATAATAGACAATAAAAATGGACGAGAAACAAGAAAATTTTTGAAACTATTGTTGTGAATATAAGCAGAGAGAAAAATATAGAGGATATTAAGAATATTAGCGGAAAATCATGAAACTAAGCAAACACTTATGCATAAATAAATGTTACAGGAAAAACGATTTTAGTGATGAATGTAGACCTACATTGGGTGGACGTAATGGTCTTCTCTGCCATCTCCATAATAAGCATTAGCATATCCGTGGTACCCTAACACGATACACAGACATGCACACACGCACATACACACACATTTATAGTAGCGAGCAGAAAGATCAGAACGATGTTAAGAAAAAGTTTAAATGTGAAATAACATTTTATTTTAAAGCTTCATTGAACATTTTATCAAGGAAAAATAAGGATATAAATCCAGGGAGAGCTCAATGTAGACTATAGAGCATTATTATGATGATAAGAAGACGGGGACTTTAATTATCCATTTCGTTTATAATTTTTATTTCGTGAACACCGAGATGTTCAGCTCATCAGAACGAAAACATTCTCCGCGCGCGCGCACACACACACACACACATATATATATATTCTGTTTATACGTTTTTATGTATACACTTATTTGAGTAAATGCTTTTAATTAAACAGTATTAATTACAATTACCGACCTGAATGTTCGAAAAAATGTAAATATGATTAATACTGTTTAATTAAAAAATATAGCATTTACACAAATAAGTCTATCCATAAAAACGTGTAAACAGAAAATATATTAAAATACACTATTTACATTGTTCGGGCTATCATCCTCATCTTTTTTGTCATATTTATCACAACGTTTCGGCCGTTGTACGCTCCGGCCTTCTTCAGGTCGTAGGAATATCGAACTGGGGTAGACTCTTCTAGTTCCACGTGCCATGTCTAATGGATATTAGTTATCAGTTATATGTTGATTTCCCTCTCCAAGTTATCCACCGCCTTAACCAGGCATTGAACACTCTTTGGGTCCTGTCACTGGATCTAAGCAACGCCTTTATCCACTGTGTCATGTGACCTTGAAGACATTTGTGTATGAATTTCTGGGTATTATAAACCTAATGTCTAATAATACCCAGAAATTCATATAAGTGGAGAATAACTGATATCCATTAGACACGGCACGTGGAACTAGAACAGTCTATCCCAGCGAGAGGTTTGCGTTCGACATTTCAACCACCTGAAGAAGGTCGGAGCGTACAACGGCCGAAACGTTGTGATAAATATGGAAACAAAGATAAGGATGATAGTCCGAACAAAATAAATAGTGTACATAATACTTCATCTCAGAAATATAGACATATATTAAAATAGTTGTCGGATTTAATCTATTTCACACACACACAAACACACACACACACACACACACACACACACATATATATATATATATATATATATATATATATATATATATATATATATATATATAGCGTCCCACACAGAGGCATTTAAACACATAAAAAATGTAAATTATATGACGATAAAAAAAATTCTTACTTGTTACATCTCCTTTGGTACTTTTTTAGGACGAATGGGAAGTGCATCGTCCTCCGTTTTTAGTCAAACACCTGCCTGTTGTCGTCAACGGGCTGTTTTGTGATCCTCAAGTGTCCCTTAAGATACCAGTGAATTTTTCCCATCGTCTTCTGCATCCTTTCAATGTGCATCACTGTCTGTACCAGTAGGCATTTTCATTTTTGGGATGGTCACCGCTAAGAAAAATCTGCTAAAAAGACTCCCGTGTATGTTTACTCGAATTTCTGACCTTTGTTATTTGTTCGAGTCTCAGTTATTTTCCGTAGTCGTCTCCTGTCTTCTGCAGATGACACAAACACAATCCCAGTACATACTCAAGTGAAATAACATCTTATAATCAGCGTTTATCGTAAGTTGAATGCAATTTAGTGATGTTTTGAAATCAAAATATATTAATTTTCCGAAACATTGAATGGATTAGTTTAAAAACGAATAAATGTATGAATGGAAGAACAAGAACTTATTTGATTTTCTATGAAACATTATCAATTATTATCAACATTTGCATTGAAAATTATTTTACTGTAGGAATAGATTAAAATTATTATTATTATTATTATTATTATTATTATTATTATTATACAAATGCATTGAAAATTATTTTATTATAAGCGTACACTAAGAACGATTTTAAATATAATGTCAGTTACTATCATAGTTTGAATCGGAAATTATTTTAAGATAAAATTGGAAATTATTTTACTATAGGAATAGATTGAAATTATTATTATTATTATTATTATTGTTATACAAAGGCATTGAAAATTATTTTATTATAAGCGTACACTAAGAACGATTTTAAATATAATGTCAGTTACTATCATTTAAATTATTTATGATAAAATTGGAAATTATTTTACTATAGGTATAGATTGAATATAGAAATGCATTGAACGTTATTTTATTATAGTTGTACACTGTGAAAGGTTTTTATATATAATGTCAGTTACTGTTGTAGTTTTGATCGGAAATTATTTTATGATAAAATTGGAAATTATTTTACTATAGAAACAGGTTATTTTAAGGTATTTTTCTTATTTTATGAATACTTGTAATATTAATTATAATAATATTTAAATTTCTTAAAACATTATCGATTATATTAAGTTAATATTTCTACGTTATTTCTGTTATTTTCTTTACATTATTGCTATTTGTTGTAACAATATATGAATGATTTAGATAAATCATTATCAATTATTATCGATTTTAAACTAATATTTCTCTGTTTTTTTATTTAATTGTTAGAAATACTTGTAATATTGACAGAGGCACGTTAGAGCAATGGGTTGCTGTTCGGATTGAGGAATCGATTTCATTACTTAGGAAAGGTATAACTTCACCTATTCTCTCCCCATAAATAGTAGTACAGTGTAAATTCTATAGCTTTGGGTGGCAACCGGTCTAGGAGAAGGAAAACCCTGAATTCAAAACTGTATGTAGCCCTAACGAAGCGCATACTATGCAGCTAAGGAATGGATCCTTTGCATTAATTCGACTTGTAATATTGATTGAATAACTTAGCAAATCATTAACAATTTTAAACTAATAAGTTATTTCGCTTGTGTTTATTTATACAAGTATTTGTAATAATATATAAATTTCTTACATAAATCATTGTTAATTATTATTCATTTTAGGTAAGTAATTATTTTATGTCATTTCTGTTATTTTATTTACGCGATGAGTGTTACAATATTAGTTGAATCCCTTAGATAAAGTATTATGAATTATCATTTTTAGTGTAATATCTATGTTATTTCTGTTATGTTATTTACACTATTTGATATTCATTTTTAATATTTATTGAATTTCTCAGCATTATCAATTATTGTCGATTTCCGACTAGTATTTCTTCTATCTTATTTTTGTTGGTTTATTTAATTGTTAGAATTATGTGTAATATTACCTGAATTTCTTATATAAATATTGACAATTATTGTCGATTTTAGCTTAATATTTATTTATATTATTTCTGTTATGTTATTTACACCTTTAATATTAGTTTTAGTATGTGTTGAATTCCTTAGATAAACCATTAGCAGTTATAATCGATTTTAGGCTAATATTTAATTTCTATTATTTCTGTTGTTTTATTTAACTTTTAGATGTACATGTGATATTAGATTAATTTTTTTAAATAAATCTACAGTAAAATAATTTCCAATAATTTTCTGTAATAAAATAATTTTTGATGCATTTTGACTATAAATAGCATTGCATTTATATTTTAAAATCGTTCGCAATGTGTACCGCGAATAAAATAATTTTCAATGCATTTCTATAATAATATTAATAACAATTTCAATGTATTCTATAGTAAAACAATTCCCAGTGCATTTTATCATAAAATGATTTCCATTGCAAAATATGACAGTAACTGGCATTATATTTATATTTTAAAATCTTTCACTATAATCGTTCACCTACAATAAAATAATTTTCAATGCATTTCTATAATAATATTAATAATAATTTCAATGTATTCTATAGTAAAACAATTCCCAGTGCATTTTATCATAAAATGATTTCCATTGCAAAATATGACAGTAACTGGCATTATATTTATATTTAAAAATCGTTCACTGTAATCGTTCACCTGTAATAAAATAATTTTCAATGCATTTCTATAAAAATAATAATACTAATAATTTCAATACATTCCTATAGTAAAATAATTTCCAATTTTATCATGAAATTATTTTCAAATTAAACTATAACAAAATAATTTACTATGAAAATCTATTTATGCT